AAAAAAAAAAAAAAATTGGTTGGTGTTGAACCATTTCAAGAGGTAACACATGATCAAGAACTGATGGTACTGAAGAAGACGTCCAACCTGCACTGAAGGTATTGATGACAAGCAACATTCCAGGAATTGATGGAAGACAAATAGAAATCTTTTAGCAAACTGATACACCACTGGGGGCACTCACTCATCTATGCTAAGAAGTTTGAAAGACAGCAACCTGGTCAACAAATTGGAATAGATCTATATTTGTGCCCATTCTACAGAAAGATGACCCAATGGAATGTGAAAATCATCTAACAATATCATTAATATCACATGTAAGTAAAATGTTGCTGGAGATAAATTTTAAAAGGTTGTAGCAGTACATTGACAAGGAGCTGCCAGAATTCCAATCTGGATTTAGAAAAGGCATGGAACTAGGGATATCATTGCTGACATGTTGACTGAAAGCACACACTACTGGAAAGATGTTTACTTGTGCTTTATTGTCTGTGCAAGGCATTGAACTGTGTAAACCCTAACAAACTATGAATAACATTGTGAATAACATTGTGGGTATTCCAGAACACTTATGCTCATGAGGAACCTGTACATAGTCTAAGAGGTGGTCACTAGAACAGAACAAAGAGATATTGAATGATTTAAAAATCAAAGAAAGGTATGCACAAAGGTTGTATCTTTTTACCATTTTTATTCAATATGTATGCAAATAATTTGAGAAGCTGAATTATATAAAAAAGAATGTGGCATCATGATCGAAGGAAGACTCCTTAACAACCTGTAATACATAGATGGATGCAAAGATGACTTAAAATACTTACTGATGGATGGTACTTCAATGTAAAGAAAATAAAAATCCTCACAACTGGATCAATAAATAACATCATGGTAAATGTGGTACCTTTTTAACCTCTGTTTCTAGAATAAAGCAATACTAGAATCATAAGACATTAGGGAATAGGAAGGTTTAATTTCTTTAAGGTGAAATGAAAGTTAATAACAAATAAAGCATGTTGACTGTTACTGAATTCTATAGCATGTTTACCTTGCTTTTTTGTGTTTGGAAACCGGTTTCAAGTTGTGTTTTCCTTTTAATTAAATCTTTACTACACTCATAATCTCAATTTCAAGAGATGGCCTTAGAACTGTTCCCATTCCACCTTGCATAGAGAATTTAACACTTTTCTGTAAAGAAGAATGTTAATAAAGTTGACAACACAGGAACTTGGAGTACTTATCTTGGTTTTCTGAGCAGAGTTTTTGTAAGCAAGGGAACTTTTATGGCTTTATTGCTTTTAAACATTTTAATTGTGGATTGAGTGAAAGTTTACAGAGCAGATCATCAATTTTACAGTCAACAGATCATACACTTTGCGTTATTACAAGGATTGCAATCTCCTCCATGTATCATCAGTTAAAAGTAGTTATCTCTATTCACTTTAACTCTTTTATTCCTCCCTGTGTCTCTGAATACCTTCATCTTTCCTATGCCAACTTTTCTCTTGTTGTGTTATTACCTGCCTCATCACCATGTTAACATGTGTCTACCCTCTACCCCATGAGTAGTCCCCTATTCCCTGTAACCATCATAGAATGTTTCTTTTATCAAGAAAACCTTTTCTTAACTTTGCACACAAGTGGTCTTATATAATATTTGCCCTTTTGTGATTGACTAATGTCATTCAGTGTCCTCCAGATTCATCATTGTTTTGAGTGAGGTGCTTTGCAGTTTCATTGTTGTTTTACAAACTTGTGTTGTATTTCATTGTATGTACCAAAGTCTGTTTAACCATTTTTCTATTGATGTGTATTTAGGCTGTCTCCATCTTTTTTATGTGATTCTTGTAGACAACATATTGAAGGATCTTGTTTTCTTATCCATTCTGCTACTCTGTGACTCTTGACTGGTGCATTTAATCCATTTACATTTAGTGTTATTATTGATAGATATAAATTGATGACTGTCATTTTGCTGTGTGTTTTTTTGTATGCTGCTGGCTTCTTTGTCCTATATAATTTTCTGTACTAGGTTCATTTTGTTTGTGGGTTTTCCTTTCATTTTAATTTCTGATGTGTTAATGTTTACTAAATCTTTCTGATTTCCCTCTTTTTTTATTTTGATGTGAAGGTGTATTCATTTTCTTTGAGGTTACCTTGTAGTGAATTTCACCCCACCCATCATTTAAAACAGTCTGTGTTATCTTGAAATCTACTTGACTTTCTTGCCAATTGGAAGTTCTGTAGGTACATTTCCCCCCTTTTTGCTTTGTAGTTGACTTTATTGTAAATTGATATATCTGGTTCCCTATTTTCAGTTTGTTTTACTTTAAATATTTCTATATCTGAATTGAGTTCGGGGTGATGTCATCATATATGTTAATCTCAAGTTGTTGTCTGCCGTTATTGGTTCTCAGTCCAAAGAATACCTGTTAGTATTTTTTGTAAAGTTGGTCTGGTTATTACAAATTCCTTTCATTTCTGTTTATTTGGAAATATCCTAATTTCACAATTGTATTTGAGGGACAGCTTTTCTGAGTATCTGATTCTTGGTTGGCAATTTTTTTTCTTTCATTCCATTGCCTTCTTGCCTGCATGATTTCTGCTGAGAAATCAGAGCTTAGTTTTATTGGTTCTCCTTTGTAGGTAACTTTTAATTTTTCCCAAGCTGATCTCAGAATTCTTTCCTTGTCTTTGGCTTTGGAAATTTTGAATATGATGTGTCTAGGTGATTTTCTTTGGGATCTATCCTTTTTTGGGTTTGTTCAGTTTCTTATATGCTCCTCATCGTTCATGATGTTAGGGACATTTTCTTCCACAAACTCTCTTCCTGTTCTGGAATTCCAGTCACCCATAAATTATTCCTCTTGCTTTGGCCACACATAACTCTTAGACTTCCTTTGGATTTTTTCATTCATTTTTCGATTATTCTTTAGCATACTAGTATTATTCTGAGATTTATCTTCAAGTTCACTAATTCAATGTCCACTGATTAGGACCTTGTCCTTTGCTCTTTCAATGTATTGTCCGTTTCTGAAATCTTTAGTATTAA